TTTCAGTCCAACAGCGAATGTGTCAAACACTGATGCTTAGTACAATGGTTTACATTTCGTGATATATATAACTCAAGACTATACATATGTAGTAAAATCTTAGAAAAACTAAATGGGTTTGTGAAGTGGAAGATTAGAAATATATTATTTTTATTATAAATGTGTTTTTGTTTTTACACTCAAGGTTAGTGGAGATATTCAACGATAACAATCAAAAAGTTGCACAAGATTATTATTTGTTTTTGTTAGGTGGATTTCTTCTTTATTTATTACACTATCACAAATTATATACAGATAGATCGGAGAAGACATTGTTATATCCACCGAAACTTTGCCTACAAGATACGATGGAAACAACGGATAATGTAACAATCAGGTATTAAGATACATTGAAGGAATTATTTAACGTGAAACTATAGTGAGAGGATTTATCACTTTTCATCGGGAATAGAACAAATACTTGTAAAATAGCGAGTAAAAAAAGAAATTGTAAACTGTTGATGAATTTGTTAGGACAAACCATTTGTTAATGTTAGTGGGTTTCTTTGCGATTGGTGATTAAAATACACTTCAATTCGTTGGTAGATCAGTTGAAATTGTGAGGTAGATGATCGGAATACCTCTGGAATAAGTCGGATGAGAAGAACTTAAGTATAAGTAAACTAAACAAGGAAGTTTCAATACGAAATATTTTTTTCTGGACAACGTCGTTTTCTCGTGATTTAGCTTGGTATTTGTGGTCAATCATGTATGGTACTACCGTATCAATGAACCTGTCTAATTATCACGTGATTTATTCGCCAATTCAAATACGACCTATACAAACTTAGTACTGTACCAAATCAATGACGTTCGACCGGTATGAACAGCCTAGTGTCATTATTGGTCCTTCGTTCTCCTAGCCCTTGTAGTTGAGCCCAGAACGCCAATAACAGTTCCCACTATCCGAATCATTTATGTCAAACATACATGGTCCATGTACCAGCCAAACAAACCACATCACATCATAAAATAGGTAATAACATTTATACAAAATTAAGCCAAAATGTGTCTGCGAACGTGGGAGACGATAATTCATAAACCGAACATAATATAGGAACATTAAATCGTATAATAATAATAATAATAATAATAATAATAATAATAATAATAATAATAATCTATAGGTCAAAACGAAGCTTATAATAAGAGGGATATAGATATACATAATCTAGTTACTGAACAGTTATACAAGAGGAATATATATATAATATATGTAACACTAGTCCATTAATAGTTCTCAGAAGTTACCCGTAATTTAATCTTCACTAGGATGTAACAGATACTCTATGAATAAATGTAGGTTTTTTGCATCACTGAATAAAATTATCAAATGTAATCAAATGCCTTCAAGTATCCAATATTATAGTCTGTAAAAATATGCAACGGTGTCACATCATTTGACAAAGTAATTATTATAACTGTAAAATTGACTCCTTTTTGACTGTTTCAAATGGGTAACTTACTGTTATTTCTGAGGAGTCGTCACTGTCCTATACTTTTCTACTCTTGTCTGTCTCACTGGTTTTGATTAGTAATCGATAACTACTACAATTCCCACGACGCAGAGTAGAAACACGAAAGGCTGGTGGAATGAAGAGTTGTTGACTCCCCAAAATCACATCTCCAAACAAGCCTCAAATCCCATTCGAAACAACATCATCATCAGACCATAATGCAATCTTGATAAAGCAATTAAAAGACGGAGTTCATCTGAAAAATGCGATGTATTTGCGCTATACATTTCGAACAATCTGGTCACACATACACTAGTCAGGATATTTTATATGAAAATTAATAAAGGTCAGCAAAATGAAAGTTCATGTAGAAAAGGTACTAAAGGGGCGAGAAACATTTTTTACATCGTATACCAAAAATAAGGAATTATCGCGTCATCCTAGACCATAAAACTAATTAAGGATTACCAGGGTAAATAGTAGTAACACATGTGCACAAGAGTACATACGAACACTGAAGTGAAACAATGAATGTAGTTCACCTGAACCGGTACGGAAAATAAAGTTGTCACACTGAACGACAGTTCACACATGTTGTATCGAACAAATTTCTAATGAATTTCTACAAGGAAATATTGAACTCAATATGGTTGAAATCAAGTACTTTCTCTAGTGAGAAAACTTCCGTAACTTAAGGCACTGATATAAATTGGAAGAGTGAACGCGATATTATAACTAGTTATTCAACTTCAAACACATGTCCATGACATATAGTTTACATGGAATAGGTATTTCTTACAATCAACTTGATTTTAAGATTAAGACCGCATCCTAGATGTTATACTTCCTGGGTGTAACATAACCGTAATACACCTAAAATCTTCCCGTTTATATTTGATAAACTCATCAGTAGTATTAGTGGGAAACAATAATAAGATAAATTCACTTCGTGGTGCTTTACTTGTATCTTCCCACTGTTATTTAGGACTGCAACTAATCAGTCTGTTGTTGGCATATGTGTATCCTGTGCGGATTGCCTCGAAATAGCCTTAAGTCACAAGCTTTTTAAGCAAAGATGGATATAGGCTAGCAGTGGAATCCAGGACGCGCGTTTCGTCCTGTTTGGGACTCATCAGCTGGATGTCCCTGAATCCCATAGTTGATGCAGGTGGCTATGAGGAATCAGTAGCTGAGTGGATAACTCGGTGGCGTTTGAAGCCAACGGTACTGGGTTTGAGTCCCAGAGTGTACATCAACTCTGAGATACAAGTGCATCCAGCTGACGAGACCCAGACAGGACGAAACGCGCGTCCTGGATTCCACTGCTAGCCACTATCCATCTCTGCTTGATAATAGGATAAGTAAAACTAGTCATATATATTAATGTGACATTGTTACAAATAATTCATTTTCATTATTTGACAAATAATTAATTATATGATGACCATATTCAGCCAATGTGCATAGACAACCTGTCTTCACAGCTTAAATTTGTCCGACTTAATTATTATTATTATTATTATTATTATTATTATTATTATTATTATTATTATTATTTTATAGAGACTGTCATTGTTATCGCTATGATTAACTTTACCGAAAATTTCTTACACACATGAAAAATTAATTTAAAGATAAACACAAAAAGGAAGCAATTAATTCTACGAAGGTTTAACTTTCAACTAGTAAATTGTAGGTCATTGAATTTGATTACTATTATTCTGAAACTTGATCAAATGAATTTTAATGAATAGATATTGCAGAAGGGAAATTATGAAACGTGGCAAATGCACAATCATTAGTATGAATAGAGCAACTGTGAGCGTCGAAATGTGAAAGTACGTCCCACCATCAGCATATATGTATATATTACAAAGGATAGCAGTTGAGATTCACTGAGGTAGATATTCAAGTGAAACACACTTCTATGAAATAGACCCATCACGAGAAAACACCGTTTGCAAACCCACACGCGACGCTCGATGTTACTGCAAACGTACCAATAAGTGGCTTGAATTAGTCATTTTAGTGATGATTTGTGTGTCAAATTTTCGAAGTAACATGTATGATCACACTCTTGGCTGACAAATTAAACATATTTCGGATTGATTGAGGTTAGACATTAACACCTTTGGATACTGGCTCAATCGTTCATATGTTGAGTATTCGCGCACGAGACAGGAGGTCCTGGTTTCCAGTCCCGCATGCGAGATTGTGAGTGCACGCAGCTTAGAAGTCCCATGCAATAAAGAAATGGTCGTCTAGTGAATTCAGGTATTCTATGGAGGTCTAGCTTAGATCAACTCGTGATTTAACTGTGAATATATATGTTTACCAATGTGTGTGTACAGTTTCGAAAATGAACTAGCTGAAATGATTCCTTTATAGAATCAATTGTTTGCTAATTTCCCATAGATTTCCTCAAACTAAGAAATTGTGGGTAACGTTTATGGTAGCGATAACAAACAATACATCGATAATAATAATTCGGTCATATATCTAAGCTATGGGACTTTGTGACCACAGTTTAAATATCTCATATTCTTGTCTATGACGCGTTGTATTTGATTATAAACATCCCAAGATATACGTTTATTCTGAGAGTATTGAATGACTAAGTTGGCGCCTCCTCCTCCTTCTCCTCCTCATCCGCTTCCATATTGCATGTGGTTAGTATTCGATAAACATGTGTCACTATAGGGGTTTCGTTTTTGCTGCTGTAACCAGTATGAAAAAAACAACAAATAAAGTTGCAAACCTAAAAGCACTGCACGGCCGTTTCGTCACTGTATGTAACTACTCAGCAGTGCGCATCCACGATCCCGTGTGCGAAACCGAAGGTGCTGGTATCGAGTCCCACGTACAGGATTGTGTGTGCTCACTAATCAGCAGTCCCATAGTAGGAGGAGAAGGCTGTCTAGTGCATCCAGGTTTTCAATGGTGGTCTAGCTTACATCGACTGATGAACTCAACTGTTAAATATACCACAATCTCCACATACACCCTCACTGAAAACTGCAGACGAATTCAAACGAAGAAGCACAAGCATCTTACGAAATATGAGAACTCAATAATCACGTGATCGGATAATGCAGTGAACATAAACAATCAATTTTTCTACTTCGAATAAAAATAGTTTAATTGGTTTGATGTATTTTAGAATACTTGATAAAGTAAATTGTCGATCATTGTAAACTAAATAAAAAATCACCATTGCCTAAAATCCAAGTGTAATTTCTCACATCGTCATTTGTTTGTATGTGAAAGAAACCTATCAACTGTCGGTATTCAGACATTAACCAATAATATGATTTCGAAAATTATCATTATGATGATTGCTATTATTATCATTGGATAAAGGGATTGAGCTATGCACTAGGAAGTGTGAAACATTTCCCATCAATGAAAGGGGACGCATGTGGATAATAAGTTCAAAACACAGTTGTACTAATCCAGTTATATAGAAGACTAGCTGGAATTAGATCTTAAATAATAAAATTCTAATTGGTGTATCAGTCTGGTAGTAAATGTCATGAGGACGACGTGAATCCACTTAACCACTCAAAAATTGATGCACATATTAATTTATGGATGAAACGCTAAAATATTACTTCGGGATAAGTTTGCGAATAATGTCCGTTTTGGAAATTTAACAAAGATTCGTGTCCATTAATAAAGCTTCTGAGAGAAAATATCCAAATGAACCACCTATTTTGGAATAACAACACTTTCCACCAAAATGAATATAGAATGGAGGCATGTCATGAAAATATCTCTTGTGGATTATTCAGTACAAATTCTAATGTTGTCAATGCTGTCGTTAATCTAACAAAAGTGGAAAGTGGAATGTTTAGTGAATGGAGATTTGCATTGAACATAATTATTATCTCTCTCCAAATCCTATCTAGCATTCTAATATTTTGTGGTAATTCACTAGTTATTTCAGCTGTTGCAACGACTAAGGGATTGAGACGTATAACTGACCTCTACATTGTATCACTTGCTTTGGCTGATCTACTTGTCGCAGTCCTAATTCTACCTCTTTTCATTATGCGTCAAGTTTACGGTCATTGGCCTTATGAATCACATGAATTATGCATATACTGGCTCTCTCTTAACGTGCTCTTGTGTTCAGCTTCGATATTGAACTTATGTTGTATCTCTGTGGATCGATATATTGCAATCAATTATCCGATGAAATATATCAGTAAGCGAACACGTCGTACTGCATTCGCAATGATTGGAGGTGCCTGGATGGCATCGTTCCTAGCAATGATCCCACCTATATTTGGCTCTCAGCACCACACGGGAGTAGGCCGTTGTTACATAAGAAGTGATGCAAGATACAGATTTCTCACAGGAATCCCGATACTTATCATACCAATTTTGTCAGTCGGTTTTACTTACATTCGTATATTTTGGGTGATTCGACGTCGTTCAAAGGAATTCAAATTTGGTCAGTTTTCATCTAATCCGAAAGAACATAGATTTGGATCATTTAAATTTCTTTTCATTCCGAATAATATTTATAACCATCGCTTTGTACGTATCAGGAAGTATCTCAATTCAGTTAACTCCAATCGAAACCGAGTGTTCATGCTAAGAGACAGACCATCTAACTTGTGTATTGCATGCTCTTCATATAAGAGACATAACAATCCGAGCAAATTTCCTGTCACTCAATCTTGCAGTGAAAGTTTCTTAAGTTCCTTTTCCAATGATTGTCCTGTACAACCAGAGTGGAATGTTTCGGAAACACCTAAACAACACACACAATCTATTCAGGTGTTTCGAATAACAATGTTGCATAGAACGACGAAATCTGATATGACTGATTTTTCTACGTTTGTGGTTCATGATAGTACAGAAAACACAGAAACATGTACTTTACCAACTACTCATACGGAAGACGATATAATCATCAAGCATTCACTTAAAGCTGTTCACAAAACAACTGACACTTCTGTGAATGATCGACAGAAAGATCATCACTGTAAACACAAACACACATTGCATAGTCAGTCAACACGAAGCAAGAATTCAATGCCGAAGTATTCTAACACACATACTAATATGGACTGTAAACGTCAAGAATGTCTTATATTCAAAAGAGAACAAAAGACTGTGAAAACAGTAGCATTAGTGGTATGTTGTTTCATTTTATGCTGGCTTCCATTTACCATTTTATATTTCATGGAAGGAGCATGTGAATGTCTATTGTCAGAAACAATTTACATGGCTACTGGTTGGGTAGCATATTTGAATAGTATGTGTAATCCAATTATATACGCATTTTGTAATAAAGAATATGCAAAAGCATTTAAACGTTTGTTACATATTGGAAGTAATAATTGAAAGTTTTAAACTACAGTTTCAACTGAATTCGAAATTTGTGTATTTTTTATGAGAATCAGGATGCTGAACAATTGGGATCTGACAGACCTACAAATAAACCAATACTACATTATAGACAATACAAAGAGAGAGACAAAGTGCTACGGGTGTGCTGGAAAACAAAACAGTAATTGTACAGTTAAATGTTTTGTGTTATGGCTTATTCAGACAAAATAATACAGAACAATTTCTTTCTGCCTACATCAAATTCGAATTCTTGATTGTGTCTTGTTGAAGTTCTAGCCTAGTTGAGAGACTAGTATTCAGACATTAGATTATTTCAAATGCACATTTTACTTTGTTTCTTAAAGATAACGCATAACAGATCTTGAAAATATTCTGACTGAGCATTCTATGATATCCGCGATATTCTGGTCATAGTCAGTTAGTCAGAACTGAAGAACAGGTGAACAGAAGTTGTTGTTCAAAGTTATCAGGACAGTGAATTCGGTGTACTTGGTGGTAAATGATGATTGACATTATAGTTTGCGCATTGCTTCTATTTAAACGATGTTCTTTGAAAAGGACCGAAACTTGTGTATTTTATTTTGCTATGTGAAGGCATGGATGTCCGTCCACTGCTCAGGGATCTCATAGATGGACGAAACAATAGTGGTGGTCTAACCTAGGTGACTCCATGATTTCAGCAAATAACAATAATTTTTGCGACCCCACATTGATTGTATTGTCATCAACAATAATCAAAAAATTAAAATATCGAAATTATTAGCCTAATTAAATTAACAGGTAGTGCACCAGGTAGTGCAACAAAAAAGAATTAGAATTGAAGTAACACTAAGTCATAAAATGTTTACAAAATTCCATAGATTGAAAGAAAATTTCACAACAATACAACAAGTAGAAGAAAAATATGAGGATGACAATAGTCAACAGATTAGTAGTTATTGTCTACCTAAATAAAATGGAGAACAGAATACTTAAATATCGTACAACCAGCTAATTGTCAAATGTGCAAAATCAGAAAACAAAGAATGACAATGTACTACAGAGGACAGGAAAATACTAAGGAAAAATAAATAAAGGTATATAGTAAGATTAGATAAGCAGTTTTTAAAATGAATATTAGAATTGAATTTTTGGATAGCTTGAACCTCTACTGTGAACAAGTTCCGATTTATAGGAAAATACTAGTGAAGTGGTGAAACCAGCATTAACGAGACGTTCCGTGGTTGAGTAGACTTTTAGTAGTCAGATGGAGGAACATTGCGAGATGGGTTTCCAGAGTGCTCATTTTGTTCGACCTACATAATTTACACCAAAAGAGCAACCAAAATAATATATACAAATTGGTTTGGCCGAAAAACAAACTTTTTCTTACATACAACTATGAACTGTAGGTCAACTAGAGAAGACAATACGAACTTCAACCGAATAGAATGTTTATCTCTGTGATCTGGAAAGTCTGTTCTTCAGAATCTCTGCTCTAGCATCCCGTTAAACTGAGTTTTCATGAGGACAATATTCTCTGATTCCATTGACAATATTTCATGTTGTTGTTTTGGCTTCAGATTCAAGTCAATGATTATAAGCTGATAAAGACTATCGATAAGTATCTGCCGTACATTTTGAAGTTCGGTGTCAATTGTACTATTAGTGCATATTCGTTTGATCCTTGTGTATAAACGATAAATAAAGTTTCTCTACTGGTTCAAAGGGACCCAACTTTGAAAATTCGTGGTGAATTTTTTAAAATTTTAACAGTATGTTTACAGATGGATCGTAGGTCGATCCTGGGGGTAGATGATATTCAATGTATTCTTTATGATGACTATATATTTTTACTCTCCTATTGAACGAGGGACTTGCTGAACCAGTATACTACAATCAGTCATCGTTTGAATTAGATTTCATCACATTTATCTTTGTGTGCATAGGTGTTTGATTGCACTAAAAGCAATAAGCTGTTTTGGTATCCACCATGTCCGTCTTGTAATATCAGTTGATTTGACGGGTTGCGCCAATAATCTCACCTCATAAGGAATTACTCATCTACGACATTTTTATGCCTGTATATCAACTGTTGATTAACACCACATTGGTCTTTTAAACAGTAAACATATGTTCGTGATAAATTCGAGTTGTTTGGTCGTGACTTCATGCAGTGAATAGCACAATGAGAATAGAATCATCTAGATAGATCCATCTCCCAAACTCATTCACTTAAATTTTCTCATAATATTATAAAATGTGCAACATACTTGATAGTTTTGACATTCCTATTAGATTAAGAATTTAAACCACTTTGAAATTAACGTAAATCATAAAAGGTGAACAAATGTATGATCTTCGTTTGTTGATATTCACTCCGCATAGTCGTGATACATACTAATAACATTTGTGACTTTGTGGTTACATGAAAACATTTTCGCTGAAATATTTGTTCGTATCTGCCTCCATTGTCACCATTTCAATTTATACAAAATGAGCTTGATCAGCTTACTTAAATGAAGATTAGTATTTTGTGTGATAAAACTCAACTGTTTAAATCATTTAATTCCGTTTGATTGTCAGCATGTATGTGAAAATCCGAGTTCGAACCACGGCTGTTCGAAATTACAGTATTATTGTTTTCTCCCATAGTCTACTTATTTCTAATGTGTTCCACTCGATATTTTTCAAAATGCATTTTGGAGGGAGCGTGACAGGATTTCACAAGATGTTTCGTAATTCAGATTTGAATGATATCATTATTCGTTTAAATATTTAGACTGATCAATGATCAGAGATGGGTTTGTGGTTGTCGATATTCAAATAATCCTTAAACTTCGTCCTGATAACCGTCACTAGATAACGCCTCAACGGTGTATTAATGGGAAAGAGAATACGAAGTGTTGATAACGTTTATTATTGCACCACGCACAGATAACAAAAATTACTGATACGCTAAGCAAGCATGAAAGAGTAGTACCGAAAAGCAAGCGTGCAAACGAGTGAGCGAGCGAGCAAGAGAGCGAGTCGGCGAGTCAATGAACATGATTAAAATGTACATATACAGACATAGGGAATTGAATGAATCACAAATCAATTACAAGACTAACAGTAAAGCTAGTAGAATGAATATATGCGTAGGCAGTAAGCAATGCTCAAGCATACATACTCATGCAACTGCAACAACAATAAAAGTACAATCGTATAGATAAGGTGTTAGTGTACGAGCGACTCAATCCGTTAAATAAGTTAACAAAAGGGCTTGACCAAATTAAATGTCAACAAACTCAATAGCACGTGAGCTGCTAAAGGTTTCTAAAGTGCTCGCTTTATTCAACTGATAACAACAGTGCGAAATATAATTGAATTGTGCGTTTTGCTCACGGATCTAGTATGTTTGATTTGTGGTTATCTCTCTCATGAATGTTTCCCACAAAATGTTTGGTGACCAAAAGAGTTTGAAATACTTACAACAGACCATAAAAGGTAATCAGCTGATCACACATAAATCAAACTAAATTGGAGGATTAGTTGTAAAGACTAAAATACACAGCACTTATAAGGTGAACTCATTGTCGAACGATCCAACAAAAGTTTAATACCTGATTACATTAAGGACATCAATGGGAAAGCAGAGAAGCCATTATTTATGAATTTAAAGGAGAAGCATATGATAAACATAGGTATTTATTCTTTGTCCGGTGTACCACTAATTAACACAGTTGAATTTTCAGTATGGGGTTGTGGAGATTGTTAAGTTTTTGGTTGAGATCATGAATTAATTGGTGTTAGACCACCGTTGGAAACCTGGAAGCATTGGACGGCCGTTTCTTCCTACTATGGGACTCCTCCACCATTGGATGCCGTCTCAATGGTCTAATGGTTAAGTGCTCAGGCGCAAAGCCAGTAGGTCCTGGGTTCGAATCCCGTGGGGTGCGGGATCGTGCTGCTTAGGAGTCCCATACTAGGACGAAACGGCCGTCCTATGCTTCCAGGTTTCCAACGGTGGTCTAACACCAATTAATTCATGATCTTAACCAAAAACAGTTGAATTTGTTTCAGCAACTGTCAGAGCAACAAATCAGTATTGAAATTTCCCAGGCTAGTCTCTAAAAGGATTACACACTGAACGTTTATTTTGATCTCAGTCACATGTATTATAGACGGAATGGTGGACTAGCTATGGATTCAACTTTAAGCACAATATTAGCTGCGTTTTTTCCGTAAAACCAGTAAACGATTCTGTCGAATAGGTGATCAATGGACTTGAAATTTACTGCCGTCGCATTAATGTCACACACATTCCTGTCAACCAGAATATGAGAAATAAGAATAACTGTAAGGCCTGGTGGTAGATCAAGTCCACATAGGTTATTCCAGCTTCCAAACAGATCAATCTGTTCATTCTACTCAACACCCTTTTTTACTTTACTGCATGTTATACGACCATATGTGTGCTAATTAATTACCTTACTCATTATGTGTCTGTAACTTATTCTTGTTCGTCAATAAATTTGTATTCACGCTTGGCTAAATAGAGTTAGTTAGCTCACTCACTTTCTCCACCACACGTATTTGAAATACATTCTCGTATTTAACTTATTTAATTGTGTTATTCACTAACGTGATTTAGGTCGATAATTATATGCGAGTATTGGTTACATGTATAAGTGGATAACGATAACAACACGATCAAACTGGAGTCAGATATAGGGCCAAGATGTGGTGAGTCCGCCGACTTCGAACCTAACGCAGCAAACTACATCGATGAGAAACCTTCCGCACAACTACTAATAAGGTCAGTTCGACTCCTAACAGAACACGTCCTGCAAATTTGCGCAGACGGTGAACATCTCGAAATCTACGCGTCCGATAAACGAACTACGTGGCCCACCTGATCAACGGACAACTCAGACGACTCAATCTCTAATCCGACTCATTCATCGAAGCTGGTAGAGCGGTGACATGTACATGCTTAAACTGTATTATCTTGTCTATACTTTGTAATTGTG